CCCCCCCCCCCCCCCCCCTTAAGGTTTTTCTAATTTTTTTCCTAGACGATAAAACATTACCACCTAAAGTTTTCTGTAACTGTTCATTTATCCTTGGCGCGCATTTTGACACAAGTTTTGTGGTGGTCAGTTACTATGCTTACGAGATATGACGTCATAAGTAGCAGGTGGTCAAGCCATTCTTGAGTAAGAATGCATGTTTTTTCAGCTTCTTTCAGGAACAAATTTAAGTAAAGCTTGTGGATAAAATGATGTAAGTAATTATTTATGTGTTATTTTACATGTCAAGCGCAAAAAATATTCATTCTCACTGTGTTTACCTGATTTCTAATTTTCGATGAATTGGGTCACTGTAAAATATTGGGTTGAGGGGCCACCTGTAGAATGTTTTTCCAAACTGAAGAATCCTCGTACCCCTTGCCCACAATAAACACCCTCTAACGGACAGGAGAACCTATTCTTTAAAATGATCTAATCTACTGTAGGTAAGCTGTGGTTGTCATAGATACCTTTGAAATAAACTGTGTGAACTGCCTTTAATTCCATAATGCATGCAGTTAACCGGTGCTTAATTTTCAATATGCCCTGGCCGAAAATCCCTTTTAATTGATTCTGCTTGATAAAAAAACTGATAAAACGTTTTTAAAACGTTTAATGCAGTTTATACATATTTGACTCTAAGGCTAACTAATCATATTATCGAATAGCGTCGACATAGAAGATAGTTCAAGATGAAAGCGCATCAAAATGTGTTGCTTTATGGACAAATAATTCTGCATTAATTAACCCTTACAGTAGCTGAGCTCGAACGGAAATATTCTGGTAACTTATTAACCGGAAAGGAAAACACGTTTTATAATCGACCATGGATTTGAATGTCTTTTTTAGAGAATGATAAATGAGTTAACATGACTGCAGCTGGGAATTAGAGGCAGGTCCTTTTTCGGAATACCCACCACGTGAGTTATAGAAAAATACGAATGTTCATCCCAAAGATGCACAGAGGTCACTGCAGACACTTTGGTTTTGATACTTACTTCCTTTAGCCTTCTTCCTTCCTTTAATGAGTAATTTTTCGAGGAAACTCACGTGTATTCATTCATCTCGCGATAAATTTGATTCCTGCTTGGAAAACAGGCTAGATGAGCAGATGAAATTTCTGCAACATGAACTTTAATGATTGCTCTTCCTTTTTAGGTGAGGCTTGCAATTCAATATATGAAAGCTTAGCTTTGAGTGAATAACGTCAATTTATCGAAGGACTATTACAAATAACCCTAATAAGAAACAAATTTACCTCGTAGAGCAAGCTAGCCTAGACATGGTTAGCTTTTGCTATAAAAAAAAAACTGCTACCATTTGGCTTGTATTACATATAGTAGGAGTACGAATAGGAGTTGAGTCCGTAGCTGTTAGCTGTTTGGTGAAATGAGAACAATAAAAAATTGAACACGAAGATGTAAAATAAGACTCTCGGAACCTTCTCGCTTAGCGAGCGAGATGACCGAACACCACACTGCAATAATTAGCAGCAAGAGAGAATGCTTTAAATCATTATTTGTTTCTTTTAGCTTGCTTTATTTCTTGTGTTGTATTTCATTAATTAAAATTAGTTCGTAACATTGTTATTTTTATTGCAAAGTTAAACTTCATTATTATAAACCAGCAGCACATCCTTACTTTCGCTTGGCCTGTGGTACCTTTAGAGGTCATTCTAACTTCGGCATTACTCTATGTAATTCTACTTTGCCATTGAATCAATAAAGTTGATTTTGATTGTTATACAGTAACAGTAATGGCAGATTCCTTGCTTAGCGTCAACAAAACAATTCATTTTTCCACAATGCAAAGTCACCCGAGTGTGGCGCAATCCGTTAGCGCGTTTTTAAATGATTAATGTTTTAAGCACACCCAGGAACTTTTTGGTTTATTCTGTCTTTTTTTCCTCCTCACCTGTCACTGATATTCCTTTTAGAATACAGACAGGAAGGAGAAGCTACGGAGTTTGAAATAGAAAGCGACTCATTAAGGCCTGGGCTAAGAGGTTTACCTGTGGAAAATGATTTATTGGCCAAAACTTAGGCATAGATGATGGCGCTGAATCAAAATTTCGCACAGATGAAGAACTCATCGTTCTTAACATTTTTAAGTGTAAATATTGTGTTAAAAAGTCATGTAGCCATTTTACTAAAAATTGTAAATTATTGACCAATTGGTCGCCGGTTTAAGGAAAGAAATCGAAAAATAACATTTTTCTAATTCATATTTTTTTCTTTGTTTTTTCAATAAAAATTATGAGGGAAAACATCATTTTAAATGCCCAAATTAATCAAATGAAAACTTTAATCTTAAACTTCGCGTACATTCATTCCAAACGTAGAAAGTTAGGTATCTTTATGTTTATGTTTATCCAATCAAAGTAAATTCGCAAACCAATTCGCCAATTTTCTTCATTTTCAAGTTTCAGTCACATGACATGTCACGTGACCATAAGAAACGTTAAGGCACAAGAAAACCTCAAGATTTGCTTTTGGGGGAAATTATTTCATTTTGTTCTACGCACTCCTAGCGAGAGATATTGCCGATCATTCATATGCTCCGAACACACCTTTGAGAAGGAAAAAAACCCTTGAGAGGGAAAAATAGAAAATGTTTCCTGAGACTTTATAAGTAAACACAATTGATAACCACTTCGTTGTCTTTCTGTTTTATTTTATCACAACTATAATTTCCTTCCTGCTATTCTAAAATACGATGAAGGACTGATCAGTTGTTGCTTGGGCTTGACGGGTAGTTGAGCCAGTTTTACAGGCTCAAGGGCCTATACACTGCTTTTGCGTCCTTCCCTTTTTGGTGCCCAGTAGCAGATCTTTTTTGTGTCATTCCACACAAGGCCTGCAGGACACTTCCGTCTGTACGTTATCCCACCGGAGCAAGAGATGTATCCGGATGGATTGCTCGGGTCTGCGTAATCACCATCCTTTTTTCCTGCGCAAAAATCTGCAGTAAAAAGATAGATAATTCTAACGCTAATATTTCCTATTAATGTCGTTAACGCCTGCCTGATGGGTAAAAAAAAAAAAATATCTTGCATGGGATCATTTAAGTGAAAAATGACCATTTGATCATATAATTACCAATGAAAAGTGATAATATCATAACGATTT